GGCTGAGATGGGCAAGGAGGGAAGGACCAACCCGACGCCATCTTCCAGGGAGAATGCCTTCCCTGGGAGCTCCGAGCCAGCTCTTAGCCGGAGCCCCTGGTGAGGCCTGGTTTCCTTTTCATTGCCATCAGTCATGTCTGTTGTCACCTTGCCCCTAGATTGGACTCTGCAGTCTTGTCCAGGTCATCCGAACCGATGTTCTGAAGGAACTCCGCCCTTACTGGGTCCCCAGAGAGACAGAAGAGACAGGGAGGTGATATGTAGGACAGACCCCTCTGTTCTGCTCTCCACGTCTTCAGTGTCCAGCAGAGGTACAGAAGGAAGCCTGAAATCTGCCTAGGATCCCCGAGGGGAGGAAGCAGAGCGAGGAATTTCAGGGAAGACTTTGGAGGGCTAAGCAGAGCGGGGACGGGGGTGGCGCAGCCAGAAGCAGTGGCACCAGTCTGTCTGTCAAAGAGCTTGTCCTCTGGCTGGCATTCAGTCCCATCTGGTGGACATTCGGAGCTGAGCTCCAACTTCCAGAAGACCCAGATGAGGGCTGCTCACGTAGAGAACTGCAGAAGGCAGACAGGAAGGAGATGTCTCTTTCCGGGTCAGAAACTGGGCTCCCAGGGACAGCTTGAGGTGTCCCCAGAGGGAGAGGCGACTTCAGAGAACGAACAGCAATCCTCAGGCACCCAAAGCTCCAGCCTTCCTTCCTCTCCCATCATTTGCCCCTCTGTTGTCAAGCTGTCCGGCATATTTCCCCACTGTAGGCATCCAAGACCTCCCTAGCCCAGCTGCAAGGCCTATAGCACCCCCTGGTGGTATATCTGGAACAAACTGTGGTGTACAATAGTGTCGTAGGAAGCCCAAGGTGGTGGTCTCTCCCAGCTCTGCCCTGCTGCGCTCTGCCCTGCTGCATGGACCTCGTGATACTGGTACCCTGGTCTGGGAACCTTACACCAGCTCCAGCTCCCAAAGCTCCTCCATGGGGAGAGAGCAGGACCACAATGGCCTCCCCCCACCTTGGGGAGTCAGGCGGGTATGGGGCAGTGGCACACGGGATTTAGAAATAACAATAGTACCTTGACGGAAAGGCGGCATTGTTTTGACAAGGACTTTAATTTTGCAGATGAGAAACCGGACTCAACAATGTTAACTAACTTGTCCAAGGTAAGAGACCATTAATGGGGGAGGCTTGATTAACCAAGGCATCCAGGGAGCCCTGAGCTAGAGGTGCTTGTGGAACACTTAATTGCAAATCCAGAACTAGATGGATTTGCTACTAATTCACTGTGACTCTAGGAAAGGCCCTTTCCCTCCCTGGACTTTACTTGCTCTTTGAGGGAGTTATACTTTGTTGTTTCCATGAGTGCCCTGAACTCATGCCTAGATGTGGAGTTGGCAGGGTTAGGGACCCCAGCTGCAGCCCAGCAGTAGTCTAGCTGCAACCCCATCCTCTGTACCCACAGTGAACTGAATGGATCCCTAGAGTCTTAAGGGGTGATGTTTAAAGTGGGTCATCAGATTATAGGTCGGTGCTCAGGGAATCAGTCTTCTTGTTCCAGCTCCCTCTTCCAGGAAGGACCCCTGGCATTTCCCTTAAACCCTTCACTGCTGGAAGCTGCCCTCAGAGCCTTTTTCACTCATGTGAGGCTGCAGTTCCTTCATGGTCACCAGAGGGCGCTCTCACGTCTTGCATCAAGGCTGCCCTCCAAACTTTGGACAGGACCTGCTTTGCATCCAGCGTCACATGGCTTCATAGCACCAGTCCCTAGAGTAGACTTTGGAACTGTTCCCCTAGGTGAAGACATTTCTCAGGGAGTCCCACAAGGAGAAGCCCAGCTGTGAGTGCACCTTGCAGGGCCTGGTGCTGCCTGGGGCATGCACAAAACAAAACAAGACAACAAACACCGAAGCCAGAACAGCTGCGCTAGACTCTGTGCGATTCCTGCACCAGATGCACATGTCACAGACATCCTGGGGAAGGTACCTGTTACAGGGCACCAGGTGAGGCCAAGCCACCTCTGGGCAGGAGGGCACAAGCGTAGGAAGGCATTCATAAAACATTGGAGGGAGCAAAGCCAGGACGGAGAAAGGCCAGTGCCGGAACATCCTCGGTATTGGAAGCAGAGACAAGCAGGACAGAACCGTGTGTACGTCTCCACACCAATAACAGCCACAGATAGCGGTGGGGACTTGACAAAGTCTCTCATACCTCAGGTCTTGGCCCAGGCATTGTCTGTGGTCCTGGTGTTGCAGAAAGGGTTTCTATGAGAGATAGGAGACCCTAACCTACCTCCTAACTGGATCAAAAAATAAATAAAATAAAATAATAAAAAGGAAAATGCATGAACATGACCTCTCCTAGGTAGGGTGGAAAAGAAAGTTTATTGTAGACATGTGGGAGAGCATAGTCAGAGGCAGTGGTCAAAACCACAGAGGACTCGGTACCTATGAGCTCTTCAGCACACACAGCCTCTCTACAGGTGCTCAGAAACCAACGAACAGCCATCCAACAGTGTGGGTTTTGTTTGCTTTTGCAGTTCTGGGACGTGAACGGTCCTGAACCAATCCCAGCAAGCATTCCACCGCTGATCTGTACCCCAGCCCTTGTATTTAGATGCCGGGTCTTGCTGTCCAGCTTAGGCTAATCTCAGATTAGCAGTCCTCCTGTAATTCTGAATGTATGCCACCACACCAGGCCAGCCCTGGGCCTTTCCTAAAGCCAGGGAAGAATGAGCTCAGGACCATGGACAAAGCCAATGTCGAGGGGCTGTCGAGATGATGCAGTGGGTAGGATGATTGTGACAAACCCAACGACTTGAGTTTGACCGCTGGGACCCACATGGTACCCAAAAGCTGTTCTCTGACCTCAGTGGTAGCATTAGTGTAAGCACCCGTGGTAATAGTCTGTGCATCGCTTAGAATGACTGCTGGTGCCAGTCAGTGCACAATGAAACCACAGAGCCTCTCGGTTGTAAAGAAATGCTGTGATACGGTGGAAGATGGTAACAGGAGAGCATGAAGCCAAATGAGAGGCTGTTCTAACCCAGGGCTGTGTAGCAGTAGCCCATCCCCCTCTGCCCATCTGAGACTCCACTGACTTCTGTCTGCCGTGCACTGTCCTCCAGCTGTGCTCACCTTCATGCCTCCAGCTGTGCTCACCTCCATCCTGAGCAGGGGCTACCTGAGAACTTGAAAGATGAAAGGTGCATGCCTGGTTTACCTAATACAACCCACGGTGCCCCTGTCTTAGCTGAGACACTAGGAGTCTGCCCAGAGAGGGGTTACAGCAGGGAAGAGGTGGTAGTGCTCAGGGCAGGGAGCAGATACTACGCAATCAACTGTAGGACAAACAGGCTGGAATGACAGCCACAAAGGGCTGTGTGGTTAACTTTGAGCACAAACATCCTGCACTCCTGTTTTGTAACAAGATTAGCATTGTTAATACCACTCTCACACTCAGCTGTGGATGAAATATTCACCCCAAAGTGATTATTTGCCTTCCTAAGTGACCCCGCTGCCTTTATTATATTAGCTTCTTGTCCATGGATATAGTATATCAAATCACTTATGCCTTATTTTCCCAGTAAAGTTTTATTATTTCTCCATGTGGAGTTTGTTCATCTTTGTTCTATTTAGTCCGAAGTGTTTCATGTATTCATTGCCACCCAAAGCAGTAATGTTTTTAAAATGATACTTTCTGATTGATTTCTGATGATTACGGAAGTACAGACTATTTTTATTTACATCTTCTTATCCAGAACTCCTGTTTAATTCTTTTAGATGTCTGTGTTATGGAACTGCGTCCTTTGGACATGGCATAGCCATGGCCATATTAAAATCAGAACAGCTGTGGTTACTTTGATGAGACCCTCACAAGGTTGAACACTAACATTCATGGAAGGACGGAAGGGCTCGCAAGGCTCATGGGGCACAGAGTTGCATGACTCTCCGTCCCCAGGAGTTAGTGATGTGGGGGTGAGTCTCGTCATTACTGTGGTACCCACAGCATGCCCGGGCTCCTGTAAGCAACCTTAGTTAATTTCTGTCACTAAGCAAGAGCTGGGCAGAACTGTTTCTTTGGCTAGTGGTTGCCCTCTCTATCCGGGATGAATAGAAACAGCAGACACCACCGACCTGTGGATAACTTTGAGAGGCAGAAACAGACCCCTCAGGGAAATCCATACAACACTTGATTCCTGAGCAGGGACACCACAGAACTGGGGAGACGCTTGAGAGGTACAGTGCCATTACCTCTGCTGTTATGACAATATGGAGCCAAGGTGTCTCCATTTGAAGGTGGTTATTTCTAGGTTGGCTCTCTATGTAGTATGGAGTGGTATGTGTTTTAATAATTTTTTCAGGTGCTGTGGGGATGACGTGGTAGATAAAGTGCTTGCTGCACATGCATGGGACCCGAATTCAAATCCCCAGAATTTCCTTCCGTCTCCTCCTGCTGCAATCACAAGGCAGAGGCCGCAGGGGAAATTCAAGGACAAGGCAGCTCCCTTGGTGAGGGCAGGAATGTACGACAGCCTTTCTGTACAAAGGCATCGGTGTCCCTGCCTGTGGGGGACGCTCTTGGTGGAACCCTCAACTCAACCACACATTGTCAGTCCATAGGAAGATGCTTTTGACATTCATCCCCCGCCCCTTGATCTCTGGCTTCTGTTGACAGGAGCCCCCAGGGTAGACTGCAATAGATTCGCCCCAGTCAGCCTGTTCCTGGCTCCAGGGAGGGACAACCGGCTTATAGTCTCCATACACACAACATTTAGGGAGGCTTCTGTCCTGCTGCAGGACAGTGGCTTGTGGGGAGCACGGGCCGGGAAAAAGGAGCGTCTGCTCCACAGACCTTCTCACCTAACTTGGCTTTCTGTCCTGCTGCAGGTGAACGCTATTCTGATCCACTCTCCCCTGGAGCCAGAGTCCACCCATCCTCCACCGGGAGGCCTTTGCTTTGGAATCCTTCCTCCAACCCACCAGCCCCAAGTTATTCTGCAAAAAATTCACCCTTCTTAGTCTGCAGCTTTAATGAAGTACAGAGAACACCCCATACCCACAGCCTTGATGCCCTCACCCAGGTCCCCTGCCCCCCATGACTTTCCACTCCAGAGGTCACAGTGGCTCAGCTTCCACCCTGGGCCACTCTCTCTGGAACTCCATCCAGGGGTAGACAGCCACAGTGCCAGGGGCACCCTGATTCAGCTCAAGACCACATCCACCGCCCTGCTACTTCTCCATCGACTTTGGCCCTTCTGGTCACGTCTCACCAGCAGCCCTCTTGTTCCCGTCTCACAGAGGAACATCTGCTGTCACTCTGGACTGGCTCCCCACGCCAGTGTGGGCATCGAGAGTAACGCTTGCTCCCATCCATCTCGTGGCTGTGGGGTGGGGCAAGGCTGGGATTCCAGGCCAAGTGGGGCTAGGAGCTGTATTCTGCAAGACATGGCATATCTCAGATGATCCTGAAGGGCAGTGTCCCCTCCCACACCTGCCCGTTGTGAAGACTCTGCAATACTGGGTGTGGGCTGACCCAGCGCCACCACAGTGGCATTTTTCTTGTGGACACATATTATTTGCTTTGCTAAAAGGAGCCCATCAATTAAAGACTCAGCGTGGTCTCTTAAACACCCCTATCTGACACAGATATAACAGGACATGCAGAGCAAGCATCTTATGTCCCATCCTGAGGCATGTGCCAGGCCACATGGGGACACTTAGGTGGATAGTATGGGCCCCTTAAGTAGCCAACGTCAAACCCCAGGAGCTTCCGTGATGGTTAAGTTAAATACATAATAGAATACTCAGAGAGGAGGGGGGATATCGGGGTCTCATCCCTGAGGCCAGAGGCTGGTCCTCTGGCTTGCCTTTCTGTTCCCATGCCCACGTGGTCCCCTGCCAGGGCAGCCACCATTACCTGTAACAATGAGGGTGGCTGTGCTGACAGCCTGACCCAGTGGATTCTTGGCCACAGCCTTGTACTCGCCACTGTCCTGAAGGGTCACGCTGGGGATGACGAGGGAACACACACCCAGCATGTCCGTGCTGTACAGCCCAGGGATTTTGTCCAAGCTTCTGTCGTTCTTGAGCCAGGTGACATGGGGCCGGGGTGAGCCCTGCACAGCACAGGTCATGCGACACTCGCAGCCCTGGGGCAGAAGGTGAGCCCGCAGACCCACCAGGAAGCGGGGCTTCCGGCTCAGGTCGGGTTCCCGGTGTGCTGGAGCCTTCACTGTGAACCTCTCTGTGGTGAATTCCGGGGCGGAAGGAAGGACGGAAGGATGGTTAAAAAGTGGAAGGCCTGACTGGGTCCCCGAGAGTCCACAGTCCTGCTGAAGGCCCTTTAGCTGAGGCTTCCCCACACCTCTTCTGAACAACCTGATGCTATTTTTATCCTTTTCCCACAACTATGTCTTGATTTTTTAAATTACTGAAAACTTTAATGTTTCAGGGCAGTGGTGGCGCATGCCTTTAATCCCAGCACTCGGGAGGCAGAGGCAGGCGGATCTCTGTGAGTTCAAGGCCAGCCTGGTCTACAGAGTGAGTTCCAGGACAGCCTCCAAAGCTACACTGAGAACCCTGTCTCGAGAAAAAAATTATTTTTACTGTGTGCAAATCAGAACACAGAGAGAAAGAAACAAGAATAAAAGCCTATAGGCTTACTACCTATACATGACTGGGACTGACATTTGGTGTAAGACTTTCCACACATTTTTGTATTTTAGAGAGGTGAAATGATACAGCTAGTTTTGTAATCTTATTTTTCTAGTTGCCTCTTTAAAGACTTACACCTACTTTGGTTTTTAGAGAAATATTAACTTCTGTTTTTAACTCATTGCTCATTGTAATTTTTGATAATTCACCCAAAGGCCTCTAGACATTCCTGACTCTTTCTGCCCGTTGAAGTGGGGTCCATCCTGAGTCCACTGCTGTGGGCATCTGTACAGGTGGGCACTGAGCAGGAGGCAGGAGGACCCCTACATATCTGGCTAGACTGAAGAGCCCCCGTTCCAGTACCCTAAGCGTAGAGGCAGACAGCTAAGCTCCTCCCTCTTTGGGGGACCCTTACCTCTCTGCCTGGGGATACACCAGGGTTGGCTGGTGTCTGAAGGTTCACTGGTCCCCAGCTCATTCTTGGCTAGCACCCGGAAGTGGTACTCATGGCCAGGGAGGACCCCCAGGGTGAAGCGGTTGGTGTGGACACGGTCAGCCACCTCACGCCAGGATCCATGTGACGAGGAGCGCATCAGCACTGTGTAGTACAAAGGGATGCCCTGAGCCTCATCCGGGGAGGGTTCCCATTGGGCTGTCACTGTCCCAGGGACATTCTCCTGCAGGAAGATGGGTCCCGGTGCTTGTGGACATGCTGCCAGAGAGAGAACAGAGAAGCCATGCAACAGAGCAGCCATAGAAATTCTGCTACTACAGTCCTCTCTGGGCTGCCAAGTCTTGTGGGGGTGAGGTGGGGGAGTGTCCTGCAGAACGCAGTGTTGCCAGGCAGGAGACGGGCCAGAGGGAGCTAAGTCTGCGTATACAACTCAGACTCGGCTTAACTCTGGATTCTGCCTCAGTTTCCCAAGTCTGGGATTATAGGTACCTACCACCACAGATGATTTCCAAAAAAATCTTATTAGCTCACTTATCTTTTTAAAGATAAAATGAGAGGATATTCTGGGCAGGGGAATGAGAGTCACTCCAGGGAAGGGAAAACCTTATCTTGCACGAGGGTCATGGGCAGCTCTTCCAATGGAGTCCTTTCAGTGAGGCAGTGGTGGGAACCACATTCGCTCTTGGACTCCAAAAGAAGAACAGGGAAGAAGAGAGGCTGTGGTGTCTCCAAGTTCGTGGGTCAGAGCAGCGGGGGCCTCCTGGGACTCTCCTGCCCTGCTTGCCGTGCCTTCATGTGCATCAGGTCAAGCGTGGTCACCTTGCAAACCCGGGACAATGACCTGTGCCCAGGACAGGTGCAGCCTTGGCCAAAGTCCACAGTTGGTCCGGCCTCACCTGCCACACTGACGCGGAAGCTGTAGGCAGCCTCCTTCCCCTGTGGGCTCCTCAGCATCACGGTGTATCGGCCGCGGTCCGAGAGGCTAGCTGCAGGAATCAGAAGCTGGGCCAGGCCTTCCTTCACTGTGGTCACAATTCTTTGGGGCAAGGGCAAGCCATCCTTCAGCCAGGTCACCTCAGGCAAGGGGGCAGCCTGAGAAACAAGGGCAGAGACACATTGACAAGAGGAGGTTTCTTTTTTCAAGTGTCTATTCAAATAAATTGTTTAAGTAGCATGTCAAATGATGGTTTCATTGTGACATTTTATTACATACATGCCACTGTATCTTCCTGATAGTGTCCTCTTCTGTTTTCATATCAAAAATCCCCCCCTCTGTCTCTGTCTCTGTCTCTGTCTCTCTCTCTCTCTCTCTCACACACACACACACACAGGAGAGAGAGAGAGACAGAGACAGAGACAGAGACAGACAGAGATGGAGACGGAAACGGAGACGGAGATGGGGAGATAGAGCATGCTATTTTCTTTCTTCCCTTAAGGCCATCAGCCTCTCTTGACCCCTGTCCTTTGATCATCATTCTTCGTGGAGGAAATCGGATAAAGGGAAAGCATATAAACTGGGCCTAACATAAAGGACAACAATCCCATTCTAGGCGGGTGGGCGGGGGGGGGGGGTGTGTGTGCCTGGGCGCTTGGAGGTGAACAAGAATCTCGTTAGGAATAGGCTGCCAGGAGGTAGTGAAGTGTGGACTTGGCCGGAAGGTATGGTAGGATGATGGGATAGGAAGGGAGGCTTAGCTGGGAGACACAGTGACACTGTCCTGGCCTTCAACCCCACAGCACGCAGACATCTAGATTTCATTCTGAGGGCGCTGCTACTGTTAGATGTTCCCGGGATAGTACAGCTGGTTCTGATTCACATGAGATGGAAGTGAAAAGAGACTAATCTGGAAGGGGTATTCCCTCCCAGGTTACAACTATCACTTTCTCAGCCTTTTGATCAGCTCAGGGAAGAAATGGAACACTCAACATCATCTGAGAGATGAGGAAATTTAAATACAGAGAGGGTCAGAGATTGTCCAGAGTCAAACTAGTGACTGATGATGACATCGGGCAGTTCGCATTTTTAACTGCTACGTAGGTTACTATACAGAGTCAGGTGGTGTTGATATTGGCTTAGGATCACTTGCACAAAAGTATATCCTAAAGGCAAAAATGGTTATCCACCCTATGGTTATCCACCCATTCCCACAGTCCCCAGACTAAGATGAATGATGGCGAGGGGAGGGGGTGCTCTAATTTGGAGGTGCAGTATTAGAAGCTACCACTAGAGGGGTGTGTGCCCGGAACAGGAAAGTAGAATGGAGTCCAAGAAGTCAAATGCCAGCTGTGGCTTCAAGTACCACCTTCCTTCCGACCACGTCGCACTGGACCTGATTTCTGAGACAGGCCCAAGTCTGTGACGAGGGCTGAAGGACGAGGAAGATTGTCTAGTTTCCTGGTTGCCCTGGGGCCCCGTGCCCTGCCGCACACCCTCCAGGTATACTCACTTCAAAGGACACAGGGACTCGAATGCTGTCTCCGACTCTGACCATCACCGTATCCTTTGCGCTGGAGTCCATGACGAACTTGGGACAGACTAGAATACACAAAGCGGCTTGTCACCTCTCTTCACAGTTGGCTTCTAGCTCAGGTTACCCCGCATGCAGACAGAAGGCTAACCCAGTGTAACGGCCTGATGGAGAAAGCTTGGGAGGGCGCACTGGGGAGAAATGCCAGGAGCTGACGGGGACAGTCTTTTGGGAGGCTCAGACGTAGAGACAAGGCTGCTATCAGGGAAGGTGAAGGACAGTCTGGAGCAAGGATCCCGGGGACAACTACGCTTTTATTTGAAGGTGAGCGTACCATTAGCCCGAGCCAGAGAGTGACCTTCCTGGTCACATCAAGTAAGGGGCAGAGCCAGGACAAGAGTTTAGCATTCTGGACTCGGGGGTTCTGTGTTTTCCATTTTAATTGTCTCCTTATTGCCACTGTGACAACTAGAGGAAGTTGGCACAGCTCAAAGAGACAGAGGATTTGCTTCTAGCAATTAAGGCCCAAAGGGAAACACAATTCACCCCACAATAACAGAGATCTTGGGCATGTGCTTTCTCAAGCTAAGCAGTGCCCATGCCTTGGAGTCACTTGTTTTAAATCCTAATTCTATATCCTAACAATGGGGATGTCTTGGGCAAAGCATCTCAGACCTTTGTTTCCATCTCTGTAAGTTGGGAGTCAAGAATAGAAACCATGTAGGACAGGAGCTATAATGAGAAAGCATTCCTCAAAGGGGCCTACTTAGCTCTGTGCTGGATGCCACAGCCTCTCAGGAAGAGTCTATAGCACTCAGGATGGGGAAGGAGGTGAGTGACACTCACCAGCAGCAGGCATGGCATGAACCCCTGAGTCCAGGGAGGTGGCCTGGCCACGGCCCCCCTCATTAACTGCTGTCACCCGCACCGAGTAGCCTTCTTGGGGCCGCAGCCCCTTGGCTGTGAAGGTGGTGCCCTGCACAGTGCCCATGTGACATGGGCTCCACTGAAGGCTGTCTGAGCCACACAACTCCACAATAAACCCCTGGGCTTCATCATCAACCTGGGTGTCCGGCCAATTCCAGCTCAGGGTGATGCTGCTGTTAGATGTGTCTGTGACCCGGAGATCCCGAACAGGCCCTGGAGGTCCTGGCAAGCACCATGGGAATTTTAGGAATGTGTCAGGTTCCCCCTGAGGATTCTTCCTGCCAGAGACTTGGGAATTCTTTCACTTAGGGGTTTCTTCAGAGCCTATCAAGAATTGGCATTGTACCCCAGCTATATGTGAGTCCCTAGTTACCTCCTCTACTCACCCGTCAACTTGCCAACCCCTAACCATCCTCCTGTAACCCTTGAAAGCTGGCATTTTAGTTGATAATCTTTTGTGTTCCGTTGTGTCTGGGGACTGCAGTTCTGTGACTGTATGCTGAATTGTGACTCTTGGCTGGGAACAACACCAGCACGGATTGACTGTATGCTGAATTGTGACTCTTGGCTGGGAACAACATCAGCACGGATTTCTTGTTCTTAATTTGTTAGATGGGAACAACAGCAGCTCTGCCTACCATGGGGACCCTGGAACAAGTTGAAGGCAGATGTGTGTGATTTGAATATAACACTGCAGGGTGGAGTTCTGGCTGTCAAGGCTAGTTGCACATTACACATTCTGTGAGATACCAAAGTCTTTATTTAATCTGGGTGCAGCGAAGGCACCAGGACTGGTAGGGAGTCACTGATATTTCTAAACATGTGATATTTAAAACTACTGGTCTAGGGGAGTGCCTCTCAGTCTTGAATGTATACTCAAATCATTGGATGACTTCATTAGAAACACAGATCTAATTCTGAGGTGAAGTCTAAGACACTCATTCTTTTCTTTCCTTCCTTCCTTCCTTCCTTCCTTCCTTCCTTCCTTCCTTCCTTCCTTCCTTCCTTCCCTCCCTCCCTCCCTCCTTCCTTCCTATATATCTACACATGTATGTATACATGTTTGCATGCATCAGTCTGTCTGTCTGTCTGTCTATCTAAAATTCACGTCTCTGGTGCAGCTCCTTAGTGCTAGGCTTGCAGGCGTGCATCGCTACCTGTGACCTGAGATTCTGCAAGTAGGTTTCCAAGTGTCATTTCCAGCTTACACGCTTTGCTCACAGTAAGTCTAGAAGGCACAGTCAACTGCTACAGCTGCTGCAGACGCTGAGCGTTCTGTTTCCTCCACTTCCCATCCCCAACGAGAGAGCCAGTTGTCAGTAGTGAGAGAGGATAGATTTGGTCTATTTGCGACAAAAAGACGCATGGGTCAACTCATCTCCCTATCCCTTGTAAACTTATAGAATGCTCTATTGTTATTGGAGCTGTACAGTCAGTCAGTTACCCAGCTGATTCCACAGGTGCCTCCAGTGTGCTGCTGCCTTGATGACTTGTCACCAGCAGGTTTATGTAAGGTGCACAGAGGGACATCTCTAAACTTTGTGCCGTGGGGTGCAGCTTTTTTTTTCCTTTTTTTTGTTTTTTGTTTTTGTTTTTTTTTTTTGTTTTTGTTTTTTTGAGACAGGGTTTCTCTGTGGCTTTGGAGGCTGTCCTGGAACTCACTCTTGTAGACCAGGCTGGCCTCGAACTCACAGAGATCCGCCTGCCTCTGCCTCCCGAGTGCTGGGATTAAAGGGGTGCGCCACCAATGCCCGGTGGGGTGCAGCTTTTAATAAGAGGGGTATTCTCTACTTGAATCTGAGGGGGTTAGAATCAAATTAGACAAGTGTCTTTCTTGTGGGGCATGGACGTGTGAGAGGTTGGTGTCATACCTATCTTTAATGTCAGACTTTTTGCTGTTTCTGTTGTCCAGAGAATGTTTCTTGACATCTCTGATGCTGCTGAGACTACAGACAGGTGAATACTGGCCTAGGCTGTCTGTCCAAAGGCAGAGGCTGGGATGGGGGCACCTAGCTCCTGGAGTAATGCTGGCCACCTCGATAGTGATGAACCACATGAATCGGGTAGAAAACTGAAGTTTTCCTGCCACCTGTTCCCCAGGGATGAGACTACCCACTAGTGGGTAGGTGACACCATTGGACTGGCATGTGAACTAACCTCCCCAGAAGGCCATACAGTGGATAACATCATCTTAGGAAGTTCTCATGCCTGGCCTCTGGACCTGTTTGATTTCAGTTTAGACCTTTTAAGATGCATTTAATTCTGTTGGCCTTTCAACCCTGACTCCCAGCCCCCCTGACCCTCTCCCTCTTGACTGCCTCTGACCTGTGAACTTCTGTCCCACAGTTTTCAGAGCTATACCCCTTGCACACCCGAACCCCACATCCTGGATTGGTGTCTTACTTACTCATGGGATCCCGAGCAAAGACAGCATCCGATGGAGGCCCTGGCTCTCCAGGGCCTGAAGAGGACACAGCCATAACCCGGAACTCATACTGGCAGCCCTGTCGCAGACCCATCACAGTGCATCTCCTTTCTGTGAAGACCACATCTCACATTAGTCTCCCATGGTGGGACCAGGAAATGGTCCAAATTCAGATGCATGGGCTCTAACACAACCCTCCTGCATCACACCAGCCGGGTGGGACAGGGTTGCTTCCAAAGTGAAAAGAGCTGTGCTCAGAGTGTTTTCACCCCGTCCTGTCTCCATCATGACCTTGCTGGATGGTCTTGAGGTCACTTTGTTGTCTCTGATTCATGCTTCCTCAGAATTATAATACATAAATACTAAATGGTGACATTAGAGATGTGATTTTTTTAACTCCTATGTGGCATGGCCATTACAGGGCTCCTGACGATTTATTCCCAGCCCTGTCTTGGTACACACAGAGTTCTGGAAGCTTCCTTCACACCTGCTCCACCCTTAGTCATTTCCAGGTTTTTTCTTATCTCGGGAAGCAGCTAGCTTCTAGGATGCTATCTAGAGGGTCGGGGCACTTCCATCTGTGTCATCAGTGAGGAAGCCGAGCTCAGAGGAAGTGGGCTGCCCAGGGCCACGGCCTGAAGTGGAAGGGTAGGGAGGTCAGCTTTACTTCTGGCTTCCAGCTTCCAGTCTGAGACTTCTATCCCAGGGGTCCTCAAGCTTAGCTCTGTTGACAGACTTTGCTGGATGATCCTCCTGGTTTGCGGGGTGGGATGTTTAGCCGCATCCTTAGCCTCTTGACACAAGTTGTCAGGAGTACACACTCTCCACCCATCTGTGACTATCATAAATAGTTCTAGACATTGCTAAATGGGGGTCAAAACTACCCCAGCTGAAGAGCAACCATGTTAAACTGATCTGCACTAGTATCGCCAAGGGATCCTGCCACCAGGGGGAGCTCTAAGGCAACTTGGGATGGGGCCAGTGAGAGGCTGCCCTCAGGACAACTCACCAGACACTGGCTGCTTGCTCACAGCCATCCAGGTGTTGCTCCCCTTCTTGCGCTTCTCAACCAGGTAGCCCAAGATGTGGGCACTGCCAGGGCCCCGTGGTGCTGCCCATGTCAGAGTGATGCTCTGGCTGGAGGCTGAGAAGATGTCTGGGGCAGAAGGGGGCCCTGGGGGAGCTGAAGGCAGAGGGCGCCAGTCAGCAGAGGTTGAGGCAAGCACCAGTTCATGGGAAGTCACAGTGCTGGAGAAGGCACGGGGGACCTGAGGGGCACAGCCGCACTGTAGGAGTTCCGGTGTTGAGCCAGCTTTCCCTAGGACACCATTCTGGCTTCTCTGAGACAGAGACGATGAAACAGAACATGCTCTCTGACCTTGGAGTCTAGAGCCACTCATGAGATCCTTAACCTCACCCACTGGTAGCTCATTCCAGAACAGGGGCATGTAATAGAGAGAGATGTTGACCAATATGCAGGTTCCAGGGTGTGGGGGTGGCTGTGTATCTTAATTTGAAAGAGCCCTAAAAGGCTACTAAATCCCCAATGAGCTGTCCACTCATGAGTGTCCTCTGTGCTCTAGGAAGGCCTCAAGCCCTCCCCGCCCCCCCAAACACAGCTAGCAACCCCTCAGCCTGCACACTGAGCACCGTAGAGAGGGCAGGGAGTTCTCTATCCAAATGCTATCTCGTCTCTCACCCTTAGGAGCCACCAACACCTCCTCAGACTCCAAGGCATCCCCAGCTCCCTCTGAGGTCACAGTCCGCACTCGGAAGGTATACTTCCTGCCCTGCTCCACGCTGGCATCAGTGAAGCTGGTACTGTCTGGTGGGGGCTCCCCCACCTTCAGCCAAGTGCTCCTTCCAGCCTGCTTCCTCTCCACTACGTAGTGTTGTATGGCCTGGCCCCCATCATCCCTCGGGGGCCGCCAGCGGAGACAGACACCTGCTCTGTGGCAATCCTGCACCTCCAGGGGTCCCTGTGGCGGCTGAGGCTTATCTGAGGAGTCATGGAGAGGAGAAGAAGGAGAAAGAAGTCAGGGAAGCTGGAGGGGGGCATGCCATTAACCCCTCATCAGTGGGTGCATCTGCAAGGGGGTGGACTGCCCAGAGATATGCATGTTTCCTGACATAGACAGAGGCTGGGGTAAGGTGCCAGCTCATGGGGAGATTCCAAACATCTCTTGGTGTCCCTGTTCTCTACCTCCCCAGTCCTGCCCTAGGAGGTGCCATGGAACCTCCAGCCTGTACCTAGTTCCAGTCAATTGCCTGCATGGTTTCCTGCTTAATTCTCTGGTGTTAAAAAAAGAATCAGAGAGGACCAAGCCCTGGGACCCTGGGAATCATGAAGAGTCTAGAGAAGGAGCTAGTCATGAGAACTAACTAAGGGAATGGGCTGAGTCAAAGAGGCCAAGGTCAGACCTCACTAAGAACTTCCTGGTAGAGAAGGAGACAAGATATTGGGCTGGGAAAGGCTTGAGTTGGCTTCATAAAAAAATCTGAGATGGTTCCAGACAAGACACAAATTCAGGGCTTCCACAGAGGTCACAGGGCAGGGAAGGGCTGGGCCTCACCCTGCATGATTAGACTGGCTTCAGTGTGCTGTCTGCCGCCCACGAAAGTGTATCTCTCAGCCTGGGTCCCCTCCACGTGGGTGAGGATCAGTCGGTGCGTGAGTCCATCTTGCTCGAAGATGACCCCATCATGGGCAGTGATCTGGAAGACAAGGATCACCATGGAGACAGCCGCTCCCACGATTCTAATTCGGTCCTAATAGCTGCCACCTGAACTAGATGGTCATCACCACTTGCCACTGCGCCTACTGTCCCCACTAATTCTCCAAAGCGCCCTTTGAGATCAGTGCTGTTATAAGTCCCGTTTTATAGATGAGGAACTTGCCCGAGGTCACAGCAGAGCAGGAATCAGGGGGGCCAGACTTCACTGGCATCACTGTACTGTATCGTTAGATGGGGCACAGAGCTGCTCTGGGAGACTAGAGAGCCCAGCTGGTCAGGATGAGACGGTATATTTGTGCAAGGCCTTCGAGGGTGAGTGGAGTTCATGAGAGACGCATTTGGGCTTGGGGGAGGACAGCAAAGGCTGTGTCAAGGTAGGAGTGAGTCACACATTCATAATGCGTTTATTTGAATACACCACACTCCAGCTGTTTAAACGCCTCCCAGAGTAGAAGTCTTAGTACAATGACAAGTGAAAACTCCTGCCTAGTCTCTTCCTTCTACCTCTCTGCTTCACCATGCTCCTCACCCCTACCCACATTAGTTAGGAAAGAGAAGGTGTGAGGTTTGAGGCGCCAGTACCTTGACTCCGTCCTTGGACCAGGTGCCAGGCCCCAGGTCACTGGTGAGGGCACAGGAAAGTACGGCGGCTTCCCCCAGATGCACCTCTGTATCAACCAGACCCTGAGCGAAGTGGTCCACGGAGCCTGGAGAGACACAAAGTCCCCAAAGCCCAGCCTCTTATTCCCTGGCCTGAACTGAATTCTAGGAGGCCTCATGGTCCTGCCCATAGAGCTCAGCCAGAACCAATGCCCAGCCTCCTGTTTTCTTAGTACCTAGGCTGATGCACAGATGTAAGGTAGATGAAGAACACCTCCCTGCCCCCAAGTCCCACAGATGGGAATTCTGGGTCATAGAGGCAAGCTAATACTCTGGGACTTTGGACAAAGGGTTTCAAGACCTTTGAGTTTCACACAGCTTGGGTACCTTCTGCATGGGGAGGGAAGAGGAGGGGCTGCTCCCTGAATTTGCATGGGGTTCTAGAAAATGGAGACACTAGTCGGGATGAGTTCCCATGCTGAAGGTACAAATGGCATGTGGGCACCCCAGTATCCAGCGACCTTACCCTCTGGCTCCACCCTAAGGAAGCCACCAGCTGGAGTACCTACCTCGGGCCTCCGTAGAAGAGCCGGGGCCAGGCTTGTATCTGGATCTGGGGCTCTGGGTAGCATCTTGTCCCTGGCCACAGACATCTGGCCTGCCATCTTGGGTATCTCTCCTGCTGCCAAGATGCCTGTGGGGATCTGGCCTCCCATCTTCACTCCAGGATTCTCTCAGAGACCCTCTGTCCTCACTGCTAGTCCAATGCCCCAGGCTTCTGGCCCTATGTGTAGCCTCTCTCCTTGCTGATGCAACTTCAGTTCCAAACTGTGTCTGAAATGTGCTTCCACAGGGACCAGGCTTCCTGCCCAACCAGCCAGGGTCTTTTTCTTCCTGCCCCTCATACTTCCTTGAGGCTTCGGATCCTTGGATGGTGCCAGTCTTAGTCTCCCAGGACCCCCACTCCTGGAGGGATCCTCTTCCATCTCCCTGCCCTGTCCCTAGTTGAAAACCTGGCTCCTGGGTTCCTCCTGACACACTTACGAAGTCCCTTCTGCCTGATGCACTGTCTAATTCATCCTGGGGTTCCTGGGGTTTTGAAATGAAACCATGTCCACCCACAGTGGAATTCCTTCTGCCTAGGAAACTTGAGCCCTCGGTCAAGCCAGCCCCGCCCCTTCTAAAACCTGAACTCTCCAAGGAGCATGGAACTTGACATTCACCAGCAACCTCTTGTCCTGTTGCGTATCCCCTGCCCTTAGAGGCTCCTTGCCCCTCCCTGGTTTGCCTGACAATGGCATCATTCTCCTGCAGTGGTCTAGAAGCCCTGAAGCCACCTTGAACCTGGTCTTGCCAGCCTGGAGCCCGAGTGTGGCTCCTGTCTTGCCCACTGCCAGGCCCTGACATTGACTTGGTCTCTCTCCCAGGTGTAGAGCTGCTGTCTATCACCTGGCCTGCCCCTGACAAGCTTCCAGAACTGGTTCCCCTCCTCCTGCCTTTCAGGGGGCCCCCACATCCCTGAGGTGTCACTTCCCCCTGGCCAGCAACTCTACACCGGCCCGTTGTCTCCAGGCCTGATTGACTAGAGTCTGAGTCATTTCCTGACCCCAGAGTGGCTACCCCAGACCCACTGTCACCCCCCACTGTCCCTCTACCACCACGAAGCCTGGAAGTCCCCATGACTCCTGCTTGGTCTACAGATCCTCCCTCCTCGCTGGGAGCCCCACTGTCCCTAGGAGACCCTGGGAAACCAGAATCATCTTTCCATTCCCTGATACCTGATTTCCCCACAGAACCAATAGCCCCCAAGTCTTCAGGAATTCCTGCGAGTCCACAGTTCCCAAGACTGTTCTTGATACTCTGCCCACCTGAAAAGATATGTGGCCCTCCTGGTGTCCCCAGCTTCCCATGGCCCATAGCACTGTCCCTGTGTGCTATGCCACCGTTAGTGTTGGGTATCCCAGCCACCCCAGAGCCCACCCCAAGCCTTGTCTCATCTGCAAGCCCCATTCCTCTGCCCTTCTCTCTGCCTACCTCTGCTGCTGCCTGGCATCCTGACCCAAGACCCGTGGACTCATGTTCTCTCCGTGCCGTCAGTGAGCCTGGCCCTCCTAGCCTCCCTGAACTGTCTGCATAGTGCAGTCTACTCTCTGACCCCATTTTCCCAGGCCCCACTGAGCTTCCCCTATAACCAACTTCATTCTTGAGTTCCATTCGTCCTGTTTCTCCTAAGCCGTCCCTTAAACCTGACTCATTCCACAACAAAATGCCTCCAGAATGTTCTAAGCCACCTTGATAACTGGCTTCGTCCTTTAATGAAATAATTTCAGAAGCTCCTAAGCCATTCTTATGGTCTGCTTTACTCCCTAATTCCCTGGCTTTGTGAGCCTGGATGTCATTCTTATAACCTGCCTCCCTCTCTGACCCCAAAACTCCAGAACACCCACTCTCATTCCCATAATCTACCTTGCGCCCCAATCCCATGGCCCCAGAGCCCCCAGCTGCATTTGTATAACTTGCCTCACCTGCTGGCCCCATGCCTCTGAGGCCTCCTGAGACATTTTTAAATGCTACTTCATCATCTAGCCCTATTCTTCTGGGCCCAAGACCCTTTGACTCTGTTCTCTCAGACCCAAGACCTCTTGACCCCTCTCCATAAGCTGTTCTGTCCTCGGTTCCCCGAGGCTCTGGAATTCCCCATCCATCCCTGTAACTTAAACCGTCAGGTATGTGAGCACAGTGGCCTTCGGAACCAGCCTCACCATGAGGAGATAGTGCCTCAGGGTGCCTGGCTTTGCCCAAATTCCCAGTCCTGGCTCCAGCGGTCCTGACACCAAGGAACCCAGTCCTTTCTCCGTCTCCTTCCTTGTCCCCTCTCCCCAGAGATCCTGGTTCCATGGGTAATGGAACCCCAGTTTCATCTTCAAAGTCTCCTTCTCTAGAGGCCCCCGGGACTCTGAAACCCTCATAACCTCCAGTGTGACCCCAAGAATGTATTCTTCCAGAATCCCCTGGTTCTGCTTCCATGTGTCTGTCCCCAACCTTTCCCACTGTTCCAGAGTCCTCCATACCATCTCCACCCACAGATCCCACTGTCCCAGGACTCCCTGGGTCACTGTCAGAGTAGTGTTCTCCACTGGGACCTGTTTGTCCCTGGCCTTGAAATATGTCCCAGCACGGGGCTTCATGAATGGCCACTCCACAATGGCCACCTGAGCCATTTCTGAGGCTGGCATCTCTCCCAGACACCTTTCCTGTAGTACCACATTGACCTTTGTTTCCAGACCACAGTCCCCCAGACACCCCTGAGTCATGCCTGTAAGTACCCCATTCCCCAGACTCTGTCTCCACAGGTGCCCCACCGGTGGCTCTACAACCAATGCCAAGACCAGACCCCGTTCCTTCTGGCACCCCTGAGCCACCATGATAGGTAACTCCATCCCTAGAACCCATCCCTTCAGAACACCCGAAGCCCTCCTCATACCTAGACTCCACCCACCCGGGACCTCCTAAGCTTCCCTTGTAGTCCATCCCACCTCTGGACCCTTTTTCTCCAGACCTCTCTGACCCATTCCAGAAATCTGCTTCAGATCCTACCACCCCTGGGTCTCCTAATCCTTCCATGTCTCCCAGTGCTCCCCCAGAGCCCTGGACGGCCAGGCCTGGAGATGTAACTAGCCTGTGGTTTCTGGCATCTACCCTTTGACTAGACACTGTTAGTCCAGCTACTTGGGAACCATCCATGGTCCCTTCCTTCCCACTGGATCCCAGCACTCCAGACCCAAAGTGGGCCCCAGTCTTTCTGAGATTGGACCACGTGTCACCCTGAGGACTCGTGTTTTCATGGGTCTCTGTTCTGCCTGGATCCCCTGCTTCCCTCTGCCACACTGTCCGTCTCTGAGGAAACTGAAAACGTCTGGAGCCTTCCTCCGTCCTGCCCAAGGCTCCAGCTGTGCGTTGGCCGTCCCTTCCCTGGAGCTCTTGTAGGCCACCTTTCCAGTCCCTGGGATCTTCTAGGCCTTCAGGGACAGTTTTGTAGCCCCTCCCCACAACCCCATGACCACCTACGCTGTGTAAAGAGCCCTCGGCTTTGGCCTCAGGACTCCTGCACCCCAGAAGTTTCCCGCCTCCAGATAGGGATGATTTCTGGGTGTCACTGCCAGCCAATGTCTGTCCTGGATATCCCCCTGCCTCCCAGTACACCCCAGCGTCTCCATGGCCAGAATCTCCACCTGCTTGAGTCACCCAGCAATCAGGGCCCATGCCTACCTCAGGGTTGCAACTTCTTCCTCTAGGAAACTCAGGGATGCAAGGGCTTCCTGCCGTATTGTGGCCTCTAGTGACGCCAAGGCAGGCCTTACTAGCCCAACCTGCCTCTGTTCCCCTCTCCCTGCTCAGGACACTCCTTCCTTCCATCTCATCCATATGATCACCCCACATTTCTGCCCCTTCCTTTCTCAGTTGAAACCCCTCGGCATCAGACTGGGATGCCCACAGCACCCTTTGCCCTGCCCCAGCTGCCAGGTGAGGGTCGTGGAGTTGTCCCTGGACATGTCTGTCCAGTTCACTGCCACAGCCCTCTCTGGGCTCCCTTCCTTCTCTGTTACTCTCAAGTCTTCCATCCTGAGGGTGGCTGGAGCCAGCCTTCCAACCTCCTGCTGTGCGCCATCTGCTATTCCCACTGTCATCTCTGCCCTGACCTTTTTGTCTCCCTACAAAGCTCACTTCTGATTCTGTGTCCCCTCCCCGGAGATGAGACCTTCCAGGAAGGCTTCCACGACACTCTCCCTCTCTGTGTGGCTGACTGTCCCCGGGAAGAGTGACCCTGCCTTGTTCTTCTTCCAGAAAGCCCTTTTTGTTCTGCCCAGGGCCCCAGGCTGAATTAACTATGTCTTCACCCTGCACCAGGGAACAGCCATGCTTGTCAAAGGCTCCCCTGTCTGGGCCTGCTGTGCGCTGTGCCCCACTAGTCTCCTCGAGGAAGCCCTGCCCTCTGGGTTGCCCTCCCTTGCTGCCGATGTCCCCAGAGGCTTCTGCTTCTGAGGCCAGGGCTTCTGGAGTTTGCAGTCGGTGGTCAGTATCTGTGGTCTGAGGGCCTTTTTCCTTCCCACCTTCGGTAAGGTGTTAATTACACAGAGGTCATTAGCCCATAGAGAGACAAGAGAAAAGACCTTGTTAAATGAGGGCAAGGCAGCTGTCTGACATGGCTGCTTTGCCTAGCTCTCACCCTCCCCAGTGGAGAAGCTGCCCATTGGAGGAAAAATCAAGGCTGTCCTAGCCTTGGTAGATAGCATCCCATCACCTCCTCCCTCAGGCCTGTATCTGCAGGCCACCCCATCCTGCTGCATGAGTCATGCGGTTTTGACACATAAGCTTGTATGTCAGAGTTGTGAACGTATCAAGCTGTTGTGGGTTTTAGAACACCCACTTGTCCTGCTGTCTGCCTCACTTATGCCCAATTCATAGTTTCCTGGGATCGTGTTGTTCCCAGATACCAGTGCTTGAGGGGATTAGGGTATTTCCTGGTCTAGCCCAGGGGCTTCTCATTCACATCAAAATTGAATCACTGCCACAAGTCCTATCCCAAGTCTTGAGGGTCGTCCTGGATCTAATGCCCCAGAGTAACCCTAAGAGATCGAACAGTGTACACATAGCTGGGCTTGGCTAGCCATGAAGAGGCCGTGTTGTGTTAGATCAAGAATTAATCTAAGGAGCCTCCCTCATTCTCTCTGAGTGAGAGAGGCATACAGAAGCAAATGACGAAGCAGAGAAAAACCCCCTGACTGCAGTCTGAGACCTTGTCTTGGTTAAGACCGGGGTGGGGGGTGGGGGCAGGGGTGGGGGATGATTCAGAAGTGCAGCCACTCACCTTCAACCACCAGCCAGGCACTGGAGGTATGGAGTCCAGTGTTCAGCGAATAGAGGCCCATGTCTGAGCAACTGGCCCCCTTCACAACCAGCCGGTGGGTTAGCCCATCAGGGGACACAAATACTTCATATTTGTCGCTGAGCCTCAGTTTTCTGTGCTGGAAATGCCAGGTCGCATTGGGACAAGGATTGGAGAGTATACATTCAAAGACTGCATCACCCTGCTCCTCACAGCGGGCCTCTGCCAGCGGGACCACCACTCTGGGGGGGATGGCTACCATGGAAACAGGAAAGGGAGACATCACTTTGCAGTGTGACCTGGGAAGTCCAAGCTAGGAACTAAGAAACCTAGTTCATGCCAGTTAGCAACAATCTTCCTTTGTCTGGGTTACCCCATCTTCTGTAGCCACCACCAGGTCTTTACTGAATGCATCAGTAACCCCATACACACATAAGATGTGGGGTTGCAATCATATTATGATCACTGGGTGATCTTAAATTCCCTTTTTACAAATGAGGAGACTGAGACTTAAGAAATTTATCGATCTAGGTTATTCACTGATGTAGAGTTATTCACTGGTAATCCCAGCTACTGGGGAGGCTGAGGCAGGAGGACTACAAGCTCATGACCAGCCTGTGGCCTGGAGGCTTTGTGACCAGCCTGGACATCTTTAGAGAGATCCTGTCTCAGAATGAAGAACTGATGTGTTTGCATTTGCCTAGAATGAGCTAGGCCCCAAAATGAAAGCATGACTTGTCCCACCCTGAGATGGCCACTCAAGCCCATGCTCCTCTGCCCACGGCACATTGTTACTCAGCTTTGAAGCCCACCCTAACACCCCAGGCCTGCCGGATGTCCTTTCTTGTTCTTTATGACCTGCACAAAGCTTCCTCCTTGGGCCTCTCCTTGTCCTTCCGAGAGGCTCCTGGCCAGGTGCTCTCTAAATGATGTAGACACAGTTCCTGGTGGGCACAGGCCAGAGTTCAAGGAGGGACATTCCCAGGTGGGGAAGGAACACAAGAAGCAGGAATGGAAGAGACCTGAGCTGCACAGGCTGGAAAGCCAAGGTAGAAATCCTTGCTTGGGAGTTGTGGGGAGGACATTAATCAGAAGGGGTGATGTTATCACAAAAGGCCATGGTTTGGATCTGATTTGAAAATGTTCATGTGGAACAGAAGGTCTGTGGGCAGGAGAATTTCATCTATGCCTGTATCCCTGACTCACTCAGCAGAGTCCAGTCGGGTACCAAAGCAGACATATCTGGATGCGTCCCTCTGTCATCCCAAGTGTCATCCCCCACCATAGCACCAACATGGACCTTCTCCTCTCCTCTATGCAAATCTCTGTGACAAAGAACACTCACTGTTGGCTTCTAGCTGTGTGGAGAAGACCACAGCATCCTCCACCATGACCTGGTAAAGGCCAGCATCCTCAGGCTGCAGGTCCTGGATCAGGAAGTGGTAGCGTTTCCCCAACCGTCTCAGACAGTGCTTGGTCTGGTTATCAAAGCCATAGGGGATCATCTCACCATCCTGAAGCCAGAAAAGGATGGTTCAGGGCCTCCATGTATCCAAAGAGCCTCCTAGCCTAGTCTCACTCTGAACACCAACAACAGTTTTCTCTACCGGCCAAGGTCAAAGACAACATAATCCTATAGCCATGAACGATGTGCGGGCTGTGGGATAAGGGCAGAGAGCAGAGCCTGGATGTGGGTGCATGGGTCATGAGGTAGGTGGAAATGTATGTTCTAAGAACGTCCAGGCCTCCTTCAATGAGTGGGGAAAAATCTATGCAGTTTATGCAGAGACATCTAAGATTGCTGACCCAGATTGTGCTGGGAAGAGAGCTGCTCTGCAGCCCTGTGTGTTAGCTGGAGAGATGATCCTATGGACTGGAACCAGCTCTTTCATTCACCAAGGGGAATGGTCAAAAATGCCTTCAGGGCTGCACAAAACATAGTCCGTTTATACATATGCTCACCCTTGCTAAGCCGTACATAGATTTTCTACCTGCTGAGAATTAACGATAGCTAACACTTATCAGATGCTTGCTGTGTGCCAGGCGCTATTTCAGGTGCTTGAGCCATTATGAAAAATAGAACGAGATCCCTGCCCTGAGGGAACTAAAACCCCACAGGTGAGAAAGACAACTGATAAGCACCATAAATAAGTGATTTGTATACTGATAACAGAATTAAAAGAATGAAGTGGTTTAGGAGGGTAAGAGAGTCAGAAGCACCAAGGAGGAGCTGGGAGCACAGGGGGATGAGGGACTAACCACACGGACGTCAGAGGTGAGCGTGCTTGGCACAGGGGCGGCTACAGCAAAGGAACGGGGACAAAGAGCAGTAACAGAGCATCAAGGAAGAAGAGAGACAGATGGGAGGAGCCAGGCTGCAGGACAGACAAACAGGCACAGTGTCATTTGGGCATTGCAGTATTCTGAGGTAGCTCTTCGGATCCCCCACTTCATCGATGAGGAGGCTGAGGCTCAGGAAAGATGTCTAGTCTGAGGCGATGGAGCCAGGGTGAGTTTTGGCTGCAGAAGGAGTGCATGCTTTCCAGACCCCAATCCCACATACCCATCTGGCCTCATGTGGTTGGCATACGTTCAGAACTCTGATCTTACCCAGATCTGCAGTAGATGCTATACAGAGAGACTGGCCTGGCTCAAGGAGAGGTAAGAGGTGTCTGGAGACTGCCCAACACGGAGTGTGACCTAACTCTAACCAGGAACCCCATGGGTTAGTGCTTATCCCCTAGGTGTTCTAGATGGCTCCGTGGGATCCATTACTTCCCCCCCCCAGGACCCACAGCCCCATCAGGTCCTCCAGCCTCACCTTGTACAGGTAAATCTTGCTCTCAAGGTCCTTGAGATCCAGCTCCAGGTCAAATGTGGCCACTCCTTCCTTGGTGACCCTGACGTGTCTCAAGTTGGTAATGGCGTTGACATACTAGAGGGCAGACAAACCCATGAGAGGGATCCCAAAGCAGTTTCTTTGGGGCACTCCAAATCTTTGCAGGATCTGGTCTCAGCCCTAGCCCACAACGACCCTGAAGAGCAGGACTGTATGAGTTCTCAAGTGAGGATGCTTAAACCCTAACTGAAGAATATTCAAAGATAAAGCCATGTGAGGGAGAAAACCGAGAGGGCTCTGAGTGTCCATCTACCTGTTGCACCTGCTGACAAACATTAGGTGGGCATCTTTAGGAAAAGCTGTGTGCTGGCCCCATGTTGAAACAGGCAAGAGTGTTTGAAAGGAAAGCTGAGGCCTAGCTGGGAGGCTGGAGAAGTCGCCTTCCAATGCTACTTTCAGAATAGTGAAAACAAGTCGTTTACCCAACCCAGAAGGAAAAAGCAGACTTAGGTCAAGTTAGACACAAGAAGGAACTTCCTGTGTAGTTTATACAATGCTGGAATTGGGCTGGAGGGATAGCTCAGCTATTAAAGGTTAGGCTCACCACCAAAAATATAAGATGCTAGGATCCCCAAGAAACAAGGCCCCAAGTCTGACAATAATAATGATGACAATGATGACAAGGGGCATTCATTAGACCCTTACTATGTGTTAGGCACTAGGCACATTCTCTTATTTGTAGCAAAGTAGATTTTGCTACAAACCCTGTTATACATATGAGGAAGACACCGAAGCTCTAACTTTTCTGAAGTCTAGAGTTCAGTAAGTACCAGGCCCCGGTATCGAACCCCAGAGCAAGTATAGAAGTCTGGATTCTTAGCAGAACCTCTCAGTGGGGCTAGATGGAGGTAGAACATCTACCATACTGGGTTTTCCAAAGACAGCTCCGGTTGTGTGAGATCCCTCCAGGCCTCGTGCTCCAGGTAGGGGGTGGGAGCAGGGTCAGAATACCTGTGCCATTCTGTCCTCCCGCTCCTTCTTCATCTCCTGCAGCTTGCGCAGCATGCCCCGGAAGTCGACGATGCCGTACTGCATACAGATCTTCTCGTAGTCCTTCCGGTCCGCCGTCATGAGCAGCTGCCACACCTGTTCAGGCTCCATCTTTTTTTCAGGGACTGGAGGTGGGGTCCTGGGGGTCAAGGCTGGTAGGTCAGAGGCCAGAGGAATCCCCGGTACGGACCAGCTGACCCTGGCAACCTGGGTGGCCTAGGGAAGCTGTCCTATGCGTGCTTGAAGAGCAGGCATGGGGGGGGTGTAATCTCAGGGGCGGGGCATGAGCTCAAGTGGGAGGTCCTAGACAAGCCATACCCTGCGGCTTGGGCTCCTAGGAAACTCTGGGCTCCTAAAAACTGGCAGTGTTGATTTTGGAGTAGGTGGGCGTGAGGTTAGCACTGAATTGTTCTGTTGCTTTAACACATATTTTAAAATCACTGCTCAAGTGATTTTTCAAATGGGACTGAGGGGAAAGAAGACTGACTCAGGGGTACAGAGCTTTACAGTGGCGGATCCAGGATGCCCAGTTCTGTGTTCTTTGGTGCCCCCTTCTACTGGTGGCGGTCGGGCTGCTTCCTTTTATCAGGGGTGGAGGGCGAGCCCAGTTTGTTTATGGAAGGAGTTGAGGTGGGTACCATGAGGGCTTCCAAAATCCTCCAGACAGTCCCAGACCCACCTCTTTTTTAGCATCTTCCGAAAATTCGTTAGCTCTTTCCTGAGGTCTAGAAAATGAGAAATAAGTCTTGAATCCCAGGTAGGGTCTGAAGCAAGGCTATATGGTCCAGGGCTGATCCAAGTTCTTATTTTTCTATTTATCAGCAATGCCCACAAGGTGTGCATGGTTGTAACAGATGGGGAGTAACATGCAAAGGCCACAGAGAGGTGTTCTGACCAATCTACATACCCTCCTGAGGTTCCTTTTGCCTTTTTCGGTTCTTCCGAAAACCCACTGGACCATCCAAGGAGGAGAGGAGAGAGGCGGTGAGCACAGACAGGGAGAGAGGCAAAACACTTGGATGGTCCCTCTGGGAAATAGGCCAGGCCCCAGAACCCTGGCCTCCCATCTGTTCTATCATTTGCTGCGCAGCAAACATCCCAGCAAAAGGGAGAGGTGAGGGTGGGGTTCTTCCATGAGCTTTGATACCTCAAAGCTTTACCATGAACACCATTGCACAGGGGTGACACTCACTCACATGTCTGCAGGGAAGTGGCAGGGGTAAGGGAAGTGGCCACTGGCAGCCACAGCAAGCTCGAGGGCATCCAAAGAGCATCTGAGAGTTGCCAGTTCAGATGATGGGACCCGAACTGCCACATACATCAGACTCGGCTTTCTGACTATTCCCTCAGTCATTCGTCATCCTCTTCTTCATCTGCTTCCACTGGAGAGTCTAGGGAAACTCAATACACACTTTCCTCTTGCGAGTAACAGCTACACGTGACATAGTTCTAGCCAATGACTTGTACAAAAAAACTCCTGGTTATTTGAGTTTTGAGTTTTTGCTTCCTCGATGAGAGAGGCGGGTGTACTTGGGCCTCCCCTTTCCCTCTCTTCTTGCTTGAGTGTGGATTAAGTTTGGATCTGCAGTGGCCAGTCAGCCTGCTGAGGGCGGCAGAGAGTGTGACAAGAAGAGCTTGCTCTCCTGTGACAGCCAGGGCTGTAGAATGAGCCCTGGACTTTAATCTCAGAATTCCTTACTATGTGAAGCAATCCCATATCTTTATTTCTAGGACTTCTCTTAGGACTTTCTGGTACTTAGAGACAAGATGAACATCACCAGCTTACTTGAGAGACTAAGTTTGCTTCCTCGAGAGGTGTTAATTATTACAAACCAAAAACATAAGGATCTTCAAACAGCATGCAAGCAAACAATAACAAAAGCAAAAAATGTCTGAGATAGGATTTAGTCTTTGTGTTACCTATTTGTCCCCTCTGATGGAAACCTATACAAATATCTCTGTAGAGTGGGAAAATTGAGACCCAGGAGGGAAAAAAGTGACTTAGCAGAAGCTGCAGGACTAGAAACCAGCACCTGGCCCCATGCAGAGCAAGGCATGGCTGAAGGTGAGCCTTCTTAGGCTCACTGGGTGCCACTGGATGCAGCCAGGGCTCCTGCACTGGGGAAACAGCAGCAGCACAGCTTCTGGGTCCTCCCTCTCCTCCCGCCACCCTGTGGTTCCTCTGAGGGTATTCTCTGGAGAAAACTGAGGCCCTGCTCCCTGATGGGCTCACGGGACAAGCCCACCTTCAATGACAGTGAGCCTCACTGAGCACGTGGCTTCTCCGTAGGCATTCACTGCAGTGCAGAGGTACAGATCTGAGTCCTCTCCTGTCAGCTTGTTGATCTGTGGAGAGGCCAAGGTCAGGGGAACAGTGCTAACACTCCATTCCTCCAGGCACTACACACGGTTGTGTGTTGGAAGTATGAAGATGTACAGACATGGCCTCTTTTCCCGTGAAGCTCACAGTCTTTGTCACAAGATGTAGACACCAGAACAAATGGAAAGGCCAGATGGTGGATGCTCTTGCCATTGGAGGCAATGTGGGTCACAGAAAGAGCTTGCTCTGGGGGTCAGATGAACCTGGCACTGGAGACGATCTCTGCCATGCATTGCTAGCTATGGCACCTTGGGCAAGTTACCTGACCTCTATGAATTTTAATTTCTTAGCTTGTAAGATGGGGATAATAATATCTCAAAAAGCAGTGAATGATTAGGATTAACTCATGTCCTCTGTGATAGATGTTTGGTTCAGGGTCTGACACTTATGAGTGTTTCATGGCTAGTGTCTACAATGTTACTAATATTAACCCATGGCTAGTGTCTACAATGTTACTAATATTAACCCTAATTGATTGAGAGGGCAGATACTGCTTGTCTGGTGACAAAATGGATACGTTCTAGTACACCTCCTATACGCTGAAAATAGTATCAATTGAAAATGTATTTAGTACAGCTAGCCTTGCTTACCTTAGCAAATTTTGCCCTAGCTTTGCTTACCTTCATGTGAGTTAGCACTTCCATGAGCCTGTGTTGGGCAAAATGATTAAGCCCTTTTTATAAAATGGGGTTAAATGCCTCATGTAATTCGGTGAACACATATGCTATAGAATACAGTTAGCCTCTGACTGATGGAGGCTGCAGGTTGCTGCCGTTGCTCAAAGTAAGTGGCTCGAACCTAGATATTTCTAACTCTTGAGAAGATCAAACTGAAAAATTAAAACCTCAGTGTGTGGTTTCTGCTCAATGCACATCGCTTTTCTATCAAAAATGCAAGTGAAACAATGATAAGTCAAGGGCTGTCTGAATTCAGTTTAAAGTGGGACAATTTACATGAACTTTTAATCTCTGTAACTATTTAGAGTATTACTGTAATTATGTTATTCCATACGTGAGGAAATACAGGCAGAGAGAGGCAAGTAGCCAGCTTTCCAAAGCTAAGATGATGAGGCCAAGGACTGTGTGAGCAGTGGTTTCAGCATCACCTGGCTCAGGAGACCTTGAACCATGGGTTGGAGTTGAATAGACCCAATCGTGGAACCATCTTTACCTCCCCCTGGGAACTGGATGCCCTTAAGAATTTAAGGAACTGTAGAAGCTCATGGACTCCAGACTAACAACTGGGGAACCTTCATGGAACAGAACTAGGCCCTCTGAATGTGGATGACAGTTGTGTGGCTTGGTCTGTTGGGGAGGGGGTCCTGACAATGGGACCAGGACTTATCTTTGGTGCATGAACTGGCTTTTTGGAACCCATTCCTTGTGGAGGGATACCTTGTTCTCCCTGATACTGAGAGAGTCGGGAGGGGCTTGGTCCTACCTCAACTTGGTATCCCAGATTTCATTGACTCCCCAAGGGAGGTCTTACCCCTCTGAAGAATTGATGGGAGTGGCATGGGGGAGGTGGGGGGCAGGAAGAGGGGGCGGGGGACCTGTGGTTGGTATATAAAATGAAAAAATTAAGTAAAAAAGAAAAGAACTTAAGGGACTAAGAAGAGACCCATGAACCCTGGGTAGCAATGGTTGTGGCACTCACCTGCAGCACATGCTCCATGCTGCCAGGAGCAGAGGAGATCTGGTACTTGCTGGAGTCGCTGAGGTCTCCTTTGGTGCTCTGCCAGTGCACTTCGGGTCTGGGCTCCCCACAGACCACTGCCCGAAAGATGGCATTTTTCCCTGTGGCCGGAAGAAGCAACGTGGGGGGGGGTAGAGTGGCAACAGATGTTTAGATTTACACTGACATCTTCCTCCCTGTTGTAGGCATCCCAGCTCCCTATTCCAAAAGAAGTACCCGACTTGGATCCCCTTGACTTGGGACTCATAATGCCAAGCAGAAGTTTCCGGGTACCCAGAGGCAGTGCCATCCTGACATCCACCATGTAGAGGCCTGGTGTCCCCAAGAGAAAGATGTGACTGTGTGGTCTGTGGTCGGGGAGGTAAGCTGCTGGAGTGGGAGATGGATTTCTTTGAGAGCGGGTGTGTCAGGAAGCTAAGGACTCTCCCAAACCAAGGAAGTGTGTGATAATTTGTGAGTTTGGTTCCTCCCATCTAAGAGGATGGGCAAGAGAGACTTGGAAAGTCATGGCTGGTACTCAAAGGAGCTGGTCCCGAGACATAGGACTCCAGCCTCAGAAAAGACCCACAGTGCCATGCAGGGCAAGATGGTGTGGGAAACCCTTCACCATCACAGCCTGGCTACCTCCTGCCAGGGACATCTCAGCAGAAGGATCTGAAGGTCCCAGGGCCCTTCCTGTGTCTTATGACCTTGTTTCAGATCTAGGAAAGTAAAATACTGTTCCATTATTTTTCTTATACCGAATGTTAACTAAAATTTATGGCGGGATCATTGCCGGGGAAGGAACACCACATCTCTGGGTGCTCCTGTGTGTGGCCTTTTAAAATGGCACACCTGAGCCTAGCCTGTGAGCCACTAGACATGTGGCTCTTTAGGGCGAGCTTGGAAGACAAGGTGTTTGTGTGTGTGTGTGTGTGTGTGTGTGTGTGTGTGTGTGTGTGTAGAGATCAGAGGTCAAGTGTCTTCCTTGTTCACATTCCATTTTTTAAATGTTTTTTCTTCACTTTTATGTGCATGGGTGTTTTGCCTTCATGTATGTGTGAGCAACACTTGTATGTGATGCCCTCAGAGTCCAGAAAAGGGCATTGGATACCCTGGAACTGGAGTTAAGCTATGAGCTGCCATGTGGGTGCTGAGAATCAGACCTTAGTCCTCTAAGAGCTGGTAGTCTTAACTGCTGAGCCATCTCTCCAGCCTTCCCATCTAATTTTTTGAGACAGGACCTTAAGACCTGAAACTCATCATTTGGCCAGATTAACTGTCCAACAAGTCCCTGGAATCCTGCTAACTCTTCCTCCCCAATGTGAGGATTACAGGCACACTTGTGTGTACCCATGTCAAGTTTTGTGTTTTGTTTTGCTTTTGCTTGTTTTGTTGTTGTTTTGTATTTGTATTTTGGTTTTTTCCAGACAAGGTTTCTCTGTGTAACTGCCCCAGCTGTGCTGGAACTCACTTTGTAGACCAGGCTGACCTCAAAAAACAAAAAAAAAGATCTGCCTGCCTCTGCCTCCCAAGTTCTGGGACTAAAGGCATGTGCCATCACCTAGTTTAGTGTCCAGTTTTTTATGTGGGTACTAGGAATCCAGAATTAGGTCCTCATGCTTGCATAGCAGACACTTTGCTGACAGCCATCCTCTCCACACTGGCTAAGAGATGTTTAAATAGCCTCTTCTTATCAAAGATTTGAGGCAGAGAGAGGAGAGAAAAGAACCTAGGCTCCTGCCTCCCTGTTTAGCATCAACCAGCACTTGCCCCCCTACATAGTGAGCACTCGCTTCATTGCCTTTCCCCACAGTATCCTCGGCTCCTGTCCCTCCCAGGGATCCAGGCAGACATCACTTGAACATAGGTAATGAACACAGGAATAGAAAGGTTAGGTGTCCAAGCTTTTTGAGGACTGGGAGAGCAGAAGCCATGACTCCCTCAGCAGAATCCACTAGGATCTCACCTTCTGGTAGAGCCTGGGTGACAGGCTTCTGCTTGAAATCTGGTGTGCTGCAGCCTTCGGGGATCTCATCCACCAGCTGCCAGATGCTCACCCCAGGGATGGAGGACTTCTTAGCAGGCTTTCCTGGAGAGCATAGGAGGAGTACATCTTGATCTCCCTCCCATTCAACCAAGGAATCAGGTCCCTCATTTCTCTAGCCATCGAGGCAGGCTTGTCCTGCCCACCTGCTGTCTGTAAAGGATGACTTTAAGCTTTCTGGTGGGGATCTGGTGGTTCTCCTCTGTGTGTTCTCAGAAGACTCTGGGTGTGTCACTAGAGAAAAACCAGTTAAAAAGGGCAGGGAAAGCCCCTCTTTAGGTAGAAGTTCAGTCCATATGGAGGCTCAGTCAAGCAAAGCAAACTTTAAAGTCCTCACTGAAAGAGCAGAGATGATGCATTCCCAAAGAGCTCTCTGCTAGATCTCCTCCCTACTTTCTATCCATGTGAGGGGCAACAGAGAGGGGTGGAGGGCCAGCTAGCTCTCTTACCTGCCATAGTTCCAGCTTCTTCTTGCTCTTCTGAGGGTGGAGACTGATCTCCTGAGGGTAGCAGATGAATGGCTTATCAGAGTTAGTGTCAGCCCACCTCTCCCACACCACCAGGATCTAAGATGGATGTTGGGGGCAAATGATGCTCCTAAGAACTTGTCTAAACTCCCCCAAGTGAAAATTATTAGTTTCCTGTCATCCCCTAGAACAGCTTCACTAGACCAATTCCAAGGGAAATTTCCAGGGAAAAAGTAGGTGCTGCCCAGTTCCTGAGGAAAGAAAACCATGGTGTCAGGACTGTACTGAGGGCCTGGTCTCCTGGTGACCCAGGCTCTTCACCAGTCAGAGGATAAAACCAAACTCATTCAGGAGACTTAATCAGAAGCAGTGACCTCTCAACTTTGGAATGCAAATTCCCCAGCAATATCTTGGATTTTCTTCTGGAGACTGGGAACCTTGTACCTCCATCTTAAAATCTCAAGGTCTGTAGTGTTGACACCCTAATTTAGTAACCCTGAAGCTTTTCTCTCCCCAAACCAATGAGATCACCAGAAACCCACCCTCTTCCCTCTGAACTGCAACATCAGATGAACAGGAGCATGTCCCCTCCTTCCAAGCGTGCCCACCATCCTCTTCCCCTCAGTCTCCTTTAACTGAACCCATATGGTCTGCACCCATAGGAGAAAGAGCAGGGTTGGCTCTGGGAAAGGATGAGAACTATGAATGAGTTAAAGGGAGACTTGTAAGAATCTTCCAGCAAGCTACCACCTGGGAGGCTGATGCATGGCCAAATGGTTCCTTTTGGGGGAATGTGCTTCCTGTACTTCCCAAAGAACCCAGCCATCACTATAGAATCACACATGACAGAGCAAATCCCATACTCTAACTGCTATGGTTTCTGGCACAACTGCCCACTCACTGGTACTTCTGGCCCCCTCTGCAGCCTAGTCATGGCCCCGCTGTGTGCAGGAATGCCACAGTGTGCCAACCGCATTCTGGAGAGGTCATAAGCACCACAGGAGTCATAGCCGCTGTGCTCAAAGAAGTCACAAGGGTGGACAGGAGAGGGGACAACTTGGACAATCAGGCTCAGCTGGCTACACCAGTGTGGGGAGGTACCCCAAGATTTCCATTCCTCCCTCCCTCAGGTCAATATCTGATAAAGGGAATCACTGGCACCCAGCCACACTGGAGGTTGAGTTTGACCCAGCATCCTTATCACCATCACCATTAGCTCTAGTAGACTGCGTGGCTATTTGTCATGTGTCAAGGATAACCCAGATACCAGCCTCTTACCTTTGCTTCCTGAAGACTCAGTTAAGAAGCAAAGAAGTAGGAGTCTGAGGTGCTCAAGGATCCAGTGCCATGCAACTTCAGGAATGATCTAGAAGTACAAACTCAATGACTAATGAGTGAGAGGTGTGTTTGGCTAGAGAACAGAGGGATGTAGACTTATTTAAAGAGGATGGGAAAGGGGATTAATTCCTTCCTTCATGATTCATTTCCACATTTGGGGAGACTCCCTACTATTAATGCACTATTTCAGCCTATCACAACTAGACACTGAGTTGGGTGCCAGGCTGTGCCCCCCTCATCTCTTCCTAGTTCTTGCCTGCTGCCCCAGAACCTGTTCCCTTCTGCCAGCCTAGGTCTCTGCTACCTCCATTTTCTCAATAGAAAGGAAGAACCAAATACAGTTCCTTTCAACTACTTTGGACTTGAGGTTGCTACTCTGAGCTGCCAGTATGATTTTTAGCTTAGTTGTCATATTACATTCTCCACCAGGCAGTGCCTGGAAAATCAGAGCCAGGAAAGAGCCACTCAGGCCTAACTCGCTGAAATTCCCTCCTCCAGGGATACCAGGGTCCCCTAAGAGGTGTTAGAAATGCACTCCAGCCTGTGGTCAGCCAGCCAGATATCCATGGGGCACGTCTGATGACCACTGTCTGCTCTTTCCTGCACAGGAAAGCTAGGGCACAACCCAGCGTCTCCCTCCTTGCCCTTCCCAGACCATGTGGACAGCCAGGTACAGGTACACAGTGTGCACTCACCTGAAGGGCCCACCAGCCTCCAGCCTCCTCACTCTCCTTCCTCCCTCTTTGCAGCTGCTGCCGGCTGCCAGGGACTCTGAGCTGTCTGGCGGTGGACAGGCAGAGCAGGAACAGATGTAGGTCATGGCAGGCGCCTTGCTGCTCTTTCGGCCCCTCCCACTCACCCCATCTCCTCCTTCTCTGGCCCAGGCTTGGCAGGGCAAGGCCCCCAGGGCTAAAGGACCAGCTTGGGAGGAGGCCAGAGATGGAGGGGTCCTGTGGCATCTACTGGTCCAGCTGATGTTTTGCAGAGTCTTAAGCTCTTTACCAGGTCAGCCGAGGGTACATTTGCTCCACGATGCCTCATGTATCTGATCCCTTTGAGCGGGGGCGTTTTCATCATGCTCGGCCTCCAATTTTCAGTTAAGCCCATCCCATGGGACCCCTGGTGCAGTAAGTCACACTGGTACATAAAGCCACTGTCCTTTTGATACTTGTATCCCATTGTGGTACCAAACAGTCAACAAACTTTGAGAGTGAGTCACAAGACCCAGAGAGACTGAAGCATGGAACCCGAGGGCTTCCCTCCAGGCTCAGTACTGTTAGGCCCTGGGTATACAAGTTGAAGCAAACACTGGGTCTTCCCCTCATGAAGTCTACTAGGACAGAAAGATGTTGACCAGCCAGTTTCACACTGTGGTCTCTGGAGAGCAAGCCTGTGGGTAGAAATCTGGGAAAGGGCAGCTGCAGCTGAGTTTGGACAGGTAAGGTCTAGAAGTCTCTGTAGGATTCTGACTTCTCTGGAAGACTCTAGAGTGATGACAGAATCCAACCTGAGTTTTAAAAGTGCTTACCCTGGCTGCATGGAGGGGGAACTGGAGGAAGATGGAAGATAGATGCAGAGTCTAGTTCCCAGGAAGGCAGTCCCGGAGCCTCCAAGCATCCCAGCTTATGGTAGAGGCTGGAAGAGAGGCTATGGACATGGCCTACCAGGAAACCGTTAGTACTTCAGATGTCTCTGCTGCACTCAGGGAGGTGATGCCCTCTTCTCTGAGGCCTAGGGACGGCCATGAATTGGTTTTCACTACAGACTAACATCTATCTCCCATGTTTTATTTTTTTAAAGATTATTTATTTATTATGAATATAACATCCTGCCTCCATGTATGTCTGCACATACCAGAAGAGGGCGCCAGGCCTCATTTCAGATGGTTGTGAGCCACCATGTGGTTGCTGGGAATTGAACTCAGGACCTCTGGAAGAGCAGTCCGTGCTCTTAACCTCTGAGCATCTCTCCAGCCCTTTCTTCTTCTTCTTCTTCTTCTTCTTCTTCTTCTTCTTCTTCTTCTTCTTCTTCTTCTTCTTCTTCTTCTTCTTCTTCTTCTTCTTCTTCTTCTTCTTTTTCGAGGCAGGGTTTCTCTGTATTGTTTTGGAGCTTGTCCTGGAACTTGCTCAGTAGACCAGGATGGTCTCGAACTCACAGAGATCCACCTGCCTCTGCCTCCTGAGTGCTGGGATTAAAGGCATGCACCACCAATGCCCGGCTCTCCCATGTTTTAAGGGGAGTCATGTGAAGAGTGTTTCTGCTCCATGTCCTGTGTCACACTGAGATTTATCTCATTGCAGTAAGAAGGGAAGTTTGGGTTTCCAAGAAATAACAGGAGTCATTTCCCTAACCTCACAGCCTATTCTCAAATATGATACTAAGTAATATTTAGTAAGCCATTTGAAAGTGAGAACCTCCAGCTGTCAGGAGGCCCTGTGCAAGACATTGATAGTTTTTCCTGTTGCTGGCAGCCAGGAAGGAAAGGATGTGGTACCCAGCCCCTCCAAGGACTCTCCCAGTTATCATTCAAGCCAACAGATCTAGTGTTATGACCTTCTCTTTCCCAGTGACTTTTCTATACACAGATGTATAGAAAACCTAACCCCTAACCCTAACCCTAACCTAACCCTAACCCTAACCCTAACATTGCCCCACTACCTTTGCTGGTGGCACACTGTCTGCTAGACTTTCCTTTTTTGTTTTTTGGTGTAAAACCCAGTCTTTGCCTTCATTGACTAGAGTAAGAGGCAGATGGGTTGTATGTGCTCTCCACTGGTCCTCCATGATAAAGCTCTCCTGTCTCCACAAGAGAGAAACTCATTATATAGCAAGTAGCAAGAGGCCCAGGCGCCATGAAGGCTCCCCTCTGGGTCTCTCTAACATCCACACAGCATAGAATTGATGATAGGGTCTCTCACATGCCAGTGGTAACACCCAATAGTCCAGTGATTTGTTGGGTGAATCCCACAGACTTGAAAAACAGGTAACTCCATGTAACTTGATTCATGGGTTACCGTTGCTCCATGCTGTGGGGTAAAATATGTTTGTTCAGCTGAATGAGCCAACCAAGGATGCTCCACATCTTCCTCTCAGTCCCATGGGTCCAAGGAGATGGGTTTTAAAAGCAAAGATCTAATTATAGGCCTGGATGCACATGCTGCATGTCCCAATCAGACACACACACACACACACACACCGAGGTAAGTGGGAGAGGCTGAGTTCTCATGAGAAGTAGAAAACCATGTGTGTTCCCTGTGCATATGACATCAGGAGATGGGTCCACTGTGGGGCCTGAGCTCATACACAAGACTCCACTGACCACAGTCTTCACCCAACAAGATATATAACACATAAACACATAAATGCACATAAAGTCTTAAAAATCATATTAACTAACTTAATCTTTCACAAAATAATTTCTAGCCCCATTTCACAGAAGGGGGAACTAAGACACAAAGATCACACAGCTAGTGAGTGGATCTAGACCTGAGCCAGTCTGCACTCTTGAGTGGTATTCTGCAGATCCAATGCAACTCCCTCCTTTCCTGAGGCAGGTACCAGGACCTGGCAGGGAGAAGTGCTAAACAGCCAGGTTCAAGTTCCTGGTTGGGGAGAAGCACCAAGCATCAAGTCACTCTGGAAACCTGCTCCCTCCATCTCCAGCAGGTTGACAAGGTAGCCAGTGCCCTCCTGGTGCTCAGGACACTAGCCAATTCTGCTGATATTATTGCTGATGTTGCATGGTTGGTCAGTTTATGAGACCCTGGCTTTCACTATAAAACCACATATACTGCAGTGCTTGCTATTACCTGAGCACATAGTGCTTACTATTACCTGAGCACATATGTGACATTCACTACATTGGTTACTTCATGTAGCTCACATGAAATAGAAATGTATTATCTCCAGTCTACAGAGAAGGGAGCATTGAGGGTGAGTGACTAAACAATGTCCCTACTGTCACACAGCTAGGAACATGAGTTAGGCAACTAGATTCCTCTACTTTTGAAAAGTTGATAAAAAGATAAAGGGCCTCCATTTTGTTGCCCCCGTGGGTGTATTTGTCTGTGGTAGTGAACCTGTCATGAAAGAAGCCTACTAAACTAGACTAGAAATGCAGATCCATGGTGAAGAGTTTGCCTACCATGTATAGGGCCCTGGGTTCCATCCTCAGGAACAAAGGTGTGGAGACTACACCATGAATTATCAGTACTCAGGAGGACCTGGTTACTGTGATTTCTAAGCCTTCTTTACAAGTGGACAGTAACCATAAGTATTTCTATTTAACCAACTGATACTTTTAACTCACAAGTGAAGAACACCTTACCGCGTAATTGTGCTATTTGTGGATTGTGACAGCATTTATCTGGTGGTTAATTCTTGGTTCCCATTTGGTGGGGTGACACAGGGATGCTGGTGACAGATGGAAGTGAACGGCCTCTCCTTCCACTTCTGTCGGCGGCTTCTCAGAAGCTATGGGAATAACTCACTGAAGTTGGTGTAGGGAGGGGGGTGTCCTGTGGGACACACCCACTCCAGAACCAAAAGAGGCTTCACCTGGACAGAAGGCAGGTGGGCAGGTCTCCAGGGGTCCTAGGCAGAAGGCATATTTCCTTTTCTATGCCCAAACTATCAGCATAGTCCAGTTCACTATGACCATCATGCAAGAGCAACAAGCCCATGGGGTAGATGCCCTTGAACCATCTTTCCCCAGAACTGTAACAAGGGTGGAACCCACTCTGACCTCATGGCAACCATACAATGTGCTCATGACTACTACATAACTGGCACTTGTGGCAGCATCCGCCCCCAGCAAGAGACTTTGGGGGACAAGAGATGGAGAAGGAGACTACCTAGAGACACAGGTAGAGAGGCTCCCAAAATCCTTGCCCAAGTTTTAACTAAATCACACCCTAACCAACACCAAAAACCCAAACCACTTTTCCTGGTGTGGAGACTATATCTCTCCAATGAACTTGGGATGCTGTGTAAGAAGCTGTGTAAGAAGAATGGGATGCTGAGCCCATTTGGAGGAACTGGGAGAACCTAAAGTGAACCCTGAGGCAGTGATGTGGATTTGAGAAGCTATCTACCCACACCCCTTCCCACTCTGTGCAGAGGACCTCCCTTTATGAAGAGAATCCTGGTCAAACGCTCGCTTAGCAGATACCGTAAAGGGGCCTCAAGTCCTGTGTTTTGACAAAGTGCCCAGCAAAGGCACCCATCCTGGACTCCATGAGTAAGGCTGTGAAGTGTCCTCTGCGCTTGGATGTGGCATTTGGTATTCACTTGAGAGTGCCTGGGGAGCCGTGGGAGGTGCATAACCGGAGAGATAAAAGATAAAAGATGCTGTCTTAGAAAGAGCTCCCAGGTGTTGTCCTGTCTCCATCCGTTAGCTTGACAACTCCTGAAGGCAGAGGCAGTGTCTTCCATATCAGACTGGAGGCACCAAGGGACAGGACAAGGACTCTCAACCCCTGTGCGAAAGCCTGGACACACACTGGGATGGTCTGAAGCTTGTGGCCTGATGGGCCCGATATGGAAGTTGAGGCTAGAGGGGAGAATGAGTTGTCCTTGGGATTCTTCACTCCTGCTGACCAGGTGGGACCCAGGATCATGGGGGAGAGACTCTGTGACTCAGTGTTCCTGCCTTTAGCATGGCTTCCTCCTTAGCGTCAGCTGTCCCCTCTCTGGCACCAACTTCCCAGATTCCCAGCCTGGTAGTAAAGATCAGGTTGAAACTCTATCCCTGATCAGTGGCTTGGCTCTGGCGCTCTGGCTAGTGTTGGGTACCAGAGACACAGCTAGGCTGAGGACTCAGCAGGGAGCTGGCTAGGAAAGACTGAGCCTCTTAAATTCTTGGGAAGCTTCACCATTGGGAGGGAAATCTTCAGGGATAAGACTCTCCCCCTAGAGCTGGAAGGCAGGGGGACCCTGCTCTGATAGGGGACATAGGCCCTAATTCCCACGTGTGATGGCAGAGGCAGACAGCTGCCCACTGAGGAGACTCAATCCCACTGTGAGGTCACCAGGGGACAGCATCTGTTACTGCTGTGGTCGACTCCAGCAGCTACTCTCTGAAGCCAAGACGGAAACTAGCATGCACAGTATGTAACTGGTATTGTGTTCTTTTGTTAGTGCCTCCTTTAACTGTTCTCTTTCACCATGGGTTAGAGGGATGATGCTTGCACAACGTTGACTCTGCTTAGCCCAGCCATTTTCAGATCTTCAGTGTGGACTAGATAGTCAATGGAAAGCAACAGTGCTCTTGCCATTCAAATGATCTTATCCAAGTAAGATAGTTACTTGAGGGCTCATGCTGATTGGTTCTCTCTCACTTTAAAGTAAAGCCTAGGAAAGGGGGATCTGCTCTTGTTGAGTTGAAAATAGTTCTTGGTATTCATTTTTTGTTTGTTTTTGGTTTTTTTTCGAATGATTGGTACCTAAGAACATTTCTGTCTTAGTTAGGTTTCTCTTGCTGTGTTAAAATTCCAATCAAAAACAACATGGAGAAACAATGGGTTTATTTGGTTTAAAGATCACAGTCTGTTATGAAGGGAAGCCAGGGCAGGAGTTCAATACAGGAACCAGGAGGCAGGAACTCAAACAGAAGCCATGAAGGGTGCTGCATACTGGCTTGTTCTCCATGGCCTGCTCAGCCTGCTTTATTACAGAACCCAGGACCACCAGCCCAAGAATGGCAACACCTTAGTGAATAAAGCACCCCACAGATATACCCACAGGCCAATCCAATGGAGACAATTCCTCTTACTAGATGACTTTGGCTTGTGTTGAGTTAGAAGAAGAAGAAAAAAAAGGAAACGAGTAAGTTCACAAACATA